TATCTTTTTCAATAATCTTCTATTTCTTTTCCCATTCTATAACTTTAACAAATAATTAAACGATACCGTACACGTCGATATGTACGGTAATTATATTTAAATCAAAATTTCAAACATATCAATTTGGTAAAATCGAAGATCTCCGCGCGACCTTACTAAATATTTCCAAGTAAATTAGAACATCACGAGTCACGTGTCTAAAGTGAAATAACATAATTTGACGCACGTCGTGCGCGCGTACAGTATGTGCGCACGCATGTGCGAACAAATCGCGTGACGTTTATCACACACAGTACATGCAATATAAACTTTTGTCTATTTTCGGACGTTTGCACGTACAGCATAAAAATTTGGGGGTTGACAATGACAGGGACAAAAAAACACCCTGTCCCTCGAACATAACCACCTACCGCCTGTGTGGTCGGGTAAAAGTTATCATTAAATTACATATGCTCATCTGAGGAAAATTTCTCGTTGGTCGTCGTCAATCGGCAACACTTGATAGATAATGAATATTTTCAACCACCTGGAAACGAAATTATTTCACTGCAGTAACCAATTTAACAAAATTAAACAAATATAGGAGTGAATCGTGTAATTGATACACTGTACTACTAATATATTTGGTACTCCAGTTTTAATTATCATCCGAGAAGTTCATTGAATTAAGTGACATAAAAAGCGATCATAGTTGATTATATTCAAACCTCTGCATGTTCTATGTGCACAAAGTATCAATCATCTAGTATTCTCCAATTAATACATGACCCATGCACACATATGAACAGTGGTGGGGCACTAAAAATCGAGAAAGGGAAAAAAAAAAAAAATATAAATACGTTGAATGTGTCAAATTTTCGTTACCTTTTTTTCTCGCTCACCGAGGCTAAAAAAAAAAAAACGGTCTTTCGTTCTCTTTTCTTTTTATTTTATTAACGTAACGAACGATGATCATATTTCGTCAACATCCGAGGTTCTTTCTCGGTCTAAAGTGTATTCAAGCCATCCTTGCAATCGTGGTATTGACGTTCGGTATGTCTCTCAAAAGATGTGCAACTATGCACGTTGTGATTTTCCACACCTTTAAATCTTGTTTGTGAATTGACATCTCATTCCCATTGCCGATTTTTTTTTTTTTCCTTTTCCCTTCATAAACCATGACGCAATAGAATTATGTCAATTCATTTATTATAGTGAAAACTACATTTCAAATAATGCCCACAATGATTGGTTTGATCCTCCTCACAATAGTCAAGAGTAAGTGGTGGTTTCACACCTTTCCGACCATCGTAAAATGCAGTGAATATCTCGTCATGATAAAAGAATTTTTCGGTTTGTGAATTTTAGGAGCAACGGTCAAACCAAAATCTGGGTTATCACGGTATGCGCTCTAACAATTGTAAGTCATGGTAGGTTTCATCAATTGACTTGAAAGAATTTTTGTTATCACCCAGATCACTTTCACTTACTAACAACACCAATTTCGTCGTCCAGTTACATACGTCATTCGCTTCATGCCAACATGGAACAAAGGTCCATACATCTCTATAGAAGTGTAAGCATCTTTGACGAACCTTTTTCTTTTTTTTTTCATCCCTTCATTCATTATCGCTAACCATTTGATTTCTACCTTGCACAGTTTATTTTTCGCTCTGTGGCTGACATCCTGTAAGTCTCATGAATTTACTGAAACGATCGACTTTTCGCTGGACTAATTATAATTAAAACGATCCCCAAAACAGGCTTATCAAACCTCGATCCAATTTATAGAGGACTGGATAGTCTAAACTGCAGAGCTCCAATTTTCTCCTATTACCCTGACGGGCAGATCATTTGTGCTCTTTGGGTAACGAGTATCGTTTTCAGCTGGCTCACGTTTGGGTCTTACTTGCCGTCGATTTTCTTCGCCTGGCAAGCCTCGAAGGAACTTTGTCCGGTTATCCGAAACCAAAACTTAAGATTCAGTAATCTTATTAACAATAAAATTTCTACTTCCGAAACTTTTCATGAACAAAAAAAGATGATTGTTCAATCAGATATCAATTTCCCCGTCACTGTCATCACCGTACCCAAGAATATTCACCAACCTGTAGTGTCGGAAAAGGAAATCCCCCAACAAACTCAATTGTTGTTACAAAGTGGTTTGCCCGACCAAGGAATCCCGCTTCAAGTTGTACTTCCTCAAAATGGTTTCCAAAGAGTCCAGGAGGAACCCATTGCCGAGAGTCATCACTATCACGAGGAACCTCAGCTACCACAGATCATCCAATCCCAAGACACTGCCGAACAAGATCAACAGCAGCAGCAATTGCAAGAGCCCCAGCAAGAAAATGAAAGCAACGCCAACAACAATTTCTTGAGCGTGATTCCGTCAAGAAAACCCTCAGCTTCATCTTTGCACGAAGTTCCCCTCTAAACGAAATTTCCCCAGAAATTTAAGTCAATTATATCATCGATCGACCACCTGAACTTATTTAACATGTAAATAACTATATAGAAATAATAATTATTGTTTTTGAGTTGACTCGAGATAATCTATAGAAAATTAGGCTTTATTTTTGCGAGAATGTTAGACGAAACTATACGTGTTAGATAAAGATCTTCTTCGGTCGGAGAAACTTGGGTTCATGAATACATTTGGTGGGAAATTATCTGATTACAAAAGTAATTTTTCGAATTCCTTTCTCTTTTATGTGCAATAAGTTTATTAATAGATATGATATAATATACTTTCTAACAGAAAATTTTACGACGGTATCGTTGTCGGCAGATGTTGCCAGGTGTATTTAATTTGCGCAAAAGTTCTTTTCCTCCTTTTTTTTTTTTTGAAAATGTCGTATTTCAATATTTCAAATTCTAGTATAATACTCATCATCCGCATACATGCTTTTATTATTCTTCTTCTTAATGTTTGTAATATTTTTTTTCTTTCTTCAAATAGACATTTCTTTGAAAGTATTGTAAAAAAGAAAACAACCGTGGGGTTTTTTGGGGGGCTACAATGTCTCTTTCAATTTTTCTTATGATTTTTCCTATTATAATTTGCATTATAATTTAGTCCAATTCATTATTATAATACACACATACATATACTGTATATTAAACTTGATGACTTGTTTATTTTTATTTTTTTTTACACTAAACTGGCTATATTTTACTAGATGGTTTGATGCCAGGGTATCAAAAATTTATAAAATCAATTTGTAAACCAATTTTTCTAAAAAAAAAACTGGTTTACTGCTGTTTATTAATAATGATTCATTATCACAAGCCTTTCTTACTTGAATCAAGAGATTAAAAATATGCAAATAATATTTTCAAATACATTTTTTTAAAAAAATTCATATAACCTTTTAATTTATAATTCAATATTATTTATATCTCTTCAAATAGAGATTCTTCATATTATAATTATTTTAATATAAGTTCTAAATATTTTTTAAATTTTTTATATTTTATTCTAATTAATACAATATAATATAAATATTAAAATTTAATTTTTATTTTTTATCTAATATTATATTTCAAGTAATTTTTGATTTTTTAATTAATATAAATTATCTTTCAATATTGAATTTTAAAATTTTACAATATCTATTATTAAATACAATATATATTAAATACATTATTTATTTATTTTTTAATCTTTTATCAGATTGACATGACAAGTTTTTTATTATATATTTAAAAGAAAATATTTATAATTTAAATAACTTTTATATATTATTTCACCTATTTTAAAATTAACTTTTTTTAAATACAACTTAAAAAAAATAATATTTTCTTTTAATTATAAAGTTTTATATTTACAAGTTATTATTATAAATTTTTCAAAGTTTTATTAAATAGATTAAAAATTTAATTATTTTTTATTCTTAACTATCACTGATCAAAATTATAATATTTAATACTTGAATATTTTTAAATTTAATAAAATTTATTAATAAAAAAATTGATAAATTTTTTCAAATATTATCATTTAACAAATTATTATTTTAATAATAAAGTTATAATTAAAGATTTGATAATAAACTATCAATAAAATATTAAATAATATATTTAACAATATAATTAATTAATAATTTATAAAAAAGTTATCAATAATTTAATAAAAATTTATTATAAAATTATTTATTAACAATTTAATCTAAATTTTATAATAATTTATTAAAATTTTATTAAAATTTCATTAAACTTTTATTAACAATTTATTAAAATTTATTAATAATTTATCAAATATTTTATTAAATATTTAATAAAAAAATCAGCAATTATTTATCTATTATTTAACAAAAATTTAATAAACTTGAAAAAAAAATTATTTATATTTATAAATTATTTGATATAATTTATATACTGTAATAATAATTAATTAATTACAACTATACAAACTACACAGAGTATAATTAACAAACTCTATCAAAAGATGCAAGTAAACTTCAAAAAGGAGATCTGAAATAATCATTGTGTTCAAGTTATAGAATGGGAAAAGAAATAGAAGATTATTGAAAAAGAT